CACACAAAACTAAAACAATCAGATATACAGTTCTGCCTCCCATCTTCCCTCTCCACATCAGTTTTATATACAGTCTGCGCTCCATGGGGGTCATATGTACATGCTTCTTCTCACTTCCCCCCAACACACAGCATCTACAATCCCTGGCACAAACAGGTATTGTTGGTGGTAGAGTGTTTTACAAACATTACTGTACCACACATCGGTTGGGCATGGTGGTAATCATTAACCCACATTTATTAACCTGGGCTCCCATGCACTCTGAATCTGTAACTTATGATTACATGCTAATAGTCTATCCTACAAACTGATGTACAGCAGAGGAGAAACAGGGTCCTTCTTTCAGACAGAGTAAAGCAGTCACCTGTCTGACCAGTAGGTCAATGTGGATGAGCTTTGAATTTCTGATTACCAATATGTCTGGCTGCTGTAAAGTATTGTGGTAATCATGAAATACTACAACAATGAAGGCAATGTTGCTGGCCCATGACTAGGAGTCCAGGCTCAGTAAATCATATAGGGAATTTGTACATTTGCTATGTCATCCTTACAATCAGTACACCAATAAAGCCATGGGGAAAACTACTGGAGCAATTTATGTTAATCAAAAACAATGTATAATAATTTCAACATAAAAAGTCCTAGAAACTAAAGAATTCTACATACTGGGGAAAAGAGAAAAAAACACAATACCATATTTCCAGGATGTGAAATTGTTGAGTAGAATGGATTTGCATTTTGATTTTTTCACTATCCAATGTGCCAAAGGGTTACCAACATAATTGGGTCCTTCTCTTATGTGTCTAAGGCCCTATAGGTGTCATAGTATGAAGGCTCGGGACCTATGAGAGTGTTTTTGTGTCTTTTTGGGAAAGACTGCTAATTAGATGGTTATTGAATTAAAAAAAATTAAAATGTATTAAATGTTTTATCCCCTTATAGTTTACTTTGTTAAAAGGGATTATGTTCTCTCCAGTTCTCCTCAAAGATACACCTCTCTAGGTTTAAATTTTATTCCAGCAATCTTATAGCATTTTTTTTTAGAATTCTGGAACGTGGAAATTTCCCATGCTACAATACTATAATTGATCTCTGTGAGAGGCTGGAAGACACTTACTTAGAGATGGAGAAAGAGAACTTATTTAATGTTAATCTGTGTTAAGGTTATATGGCTTCTGAACTTCAGCCAAATCTAGACAGCTCTCCATGCTTTGGAGAACTGCCTAGAAAGCCACAGAGTTTTTTTTTAAATATAATTTTTAAGATTATATATTGTATAATTACAAATAAACATTTAATACATTATAAAAGGTTTACCAGAGCACTATGAGTTAGCTAAATAGTCATCAGAAGTAGTTTCCTTTTCAGGTACTACTATCTCAGACTGAACGATTTTAAAAGGATAATAAAATAATTTCTGCTCTGACATCTAATTGAGTGTATAAATTTCACCTTCACTGATTAAATGATTACAAAAAATGCTATATTTTATATGTACCTGAAAAAACTGTTTTCATTTTTATTGTTTTTAGTCCCAACAAATAAAGAAAATACTTTGAAAACCTAAATACGTTAATTTTAGGTTTCTAAAAATGTAACCGTGATGCACCATTTTTTAAGATACCTGAGCTAAGGAACAGCTTGGCGTAATACTCTTCTCTTGAAGCATTTCCTCAGTGCTGAACTGACTTCAAAACGTATATACTGTAATAACCTTTGTGATTATTACCATTGTGCTATAGGGATACCAGCTTGTACTGTAAGCCTGTCGTGGTATTATTCAGAAGACAGACAATGACATGTTTGGAGTAGAGTAACCTTGAATGTATAATTACTTTGTGCACAATATTGTGGCAGCCACTGTTGCATCTAGCAAAAATCCCTTTATATTGCTAAAATGTGTCAAAGAAACCATTAGAAATAGACTACTGTACTTGCCTTAGGTGTCAAATAACTCCAAGGTTTGACTGCTATAAAGAAAACTGTGTACACAATACAAAAGCTTTGGGGAATAATGTTTATATTACCTGCAAGGTCTGGGAACATTATAGGTGAGGAACACACATGTCACATGTACACATTATTGTGTTCCAGTCTAATAATCTTGCCCTGCAAACTGACAGGTAAAATAAACTATATACTACTCTCAGGGCCAGTTCACACTATAGAAATGCAGTCCAGATGTGTTCCAGATGCATTTCTGCATGCACATTTTTTAAGTTTTTGGCGCATTCCAGTGCATTTTTGATGTATTTTTGACGTGTTCCATTGTGTTTTTAATGCGCTCCAGTTCATTTTTCTCCCGCTCTCTTTTTCTTCTATTTAAATAGGGACATGTGTGTTCCAATGCGTTTTTGTGTTTTGGTACATTCCAGTGCGTTTTTGATGCATTTTACCGCATTCCAGTACAGTTCTGTGCAGGAAAAATGCAGCAAGTTTTCTCTGCATCCGGAATGCACTGAAATTGAAAGCACTGATGGGAACTAACATTGACAACCATATAACCTACTTTCTGTGTGTTTATGATGCAGAAAAAAAGCACTCTGAAATGCATGCAATGTGAACAGGCCTTAATGTGGATAATGTGGATTGTTTTATAACAATCAACTGTGCAAGTACATGACATTCATGCTCAATACTCCTTTTCTAAGGCTCCATGTACACTAGGCATTTTAATAATGCTGGTAGTGTTAGCTGTGTAAAGTCATGTTAAAAATGCAAGTTTTTCAGCATTTTTAGTATTTTTGCATTAGCACTTAGCTGCATTTTCCGCGTTTGCTTTTTGTAGCGTTTTTACAAAAAAAAAAACCCCTGGCAAAAAACGCTGATTACAGCCTACAGTGGATATAAAAAGTCTACACACCCCTGTTAAAATGTCAGGGGATGTAGCTGTGTTCAGAATGAAGCAATCACATTCAAAATCATGTTAAATAGGAGTCAGTAAACACATCATTTAAAGTGCCTCTGATTAACCCCAAATAAAGTTCAGCTCTTCTAGTAGGTCTGTTCTGTCTCTCCAATCTAAGCATTGCTAGTGTGATCTCTGTAACTTACAGTTGTGATGAGACAGAGACAACTTCAACCTCAGCTGGATACCACAGTCAGTGACTCAATTGATAAGACATCTTGTAGATCTTGTGAAGTGAAAAAATCATAATGTTTCCTGCTCCATGACATGAGGCTAGAGCTGCAATGCCTCACTGGGAAAAGGGGGTGGGCTATCTATACAGCATTAACTAAACCAAAGGAAAGGGAGGAGCAGAAACAAAACACAGAAACACTTAAAGGCATATGACAGTCAATATGACAGTCATGTGAAACATGACAAGGTCTTTCCTGACATTTTCTTAGTCGCATCCTACAGCAAAAGCCATGGTCCTCAGAGAGCTTCCACAGCATCAGAGGGATCTCATTGTTAAAAGGCATCAGTAAGGAGAAGGGTACAAAAGAATTTCCAAGGCATTAGATATACAATGGAACACAGTGAAGACAGTCGTCATCAAGTGGAGAAAATATGGTGCAACAGGGACATTACCAAGAACTGAACATCCCTCCAAAATTGATGAAAAAACTAGAAGAAAACTGATCTGAGAGACTGCTAAGAGGCCTACAGCAACATTCAAGGAGCTGCAGGAATATCTGGCAAGTACTGGCTGTGCGGTACATGTGACAACAATCTCCCATATTCTTCATATGTCTGGGCTATGGGGTAGAGTGGCACGACGGAAGCCTTTTCTTACAAAGAAAAACATCCAAGCTCGGCTAAATTTTGCAAAAACACATCTGAAGTCTCCCAATAGCCTGTGGGAAAATGTGTTATGGTCTGATGAAACCAAGGTTGAACTTTTTGTCCATAATTCCAAAAGATATGTTTGGCGCAAAAACTACAATGCACATCACCAAAAGAACACCATACCCACAGTGAAGCATGGTGGTGGCAGCATCATGTTTTGGGGCTGTTTTTCTTCAGCTGGAACTGGGGGGGGGGGGCTTAGTCAAGGTAGATGGAATTATGAACAGTTCCAAATACCAGTCAATATTAACCCAAAACCTAAATAGGAACTTCATCTTTCAGCATGACAAAAACCCAAAGCATACATCCAAATCGAAAAATGAATGGCTTCACCAGAAGAAGATGAAAGTTTTGAAATGGCCCAGCCAGTGCCCAGACCTGAATCCAATGGAAAATCTGTGGGGTGATCTGAAGAGGGCTGTGCACAGGAGATGCCCTCACAATCTGACAGATTGGAGTGTTTTTGCAAGGAAGACTGGGCAAATATTGCCAAGTCAAGATGTGCCATGCTGATAGACTCATACCCAAAAAGACCGAGTGCTGGAATAAAATCAAAAAGTGCTTCAACAAAGTATTAGAGGTATTAGAAGTATTAGTATTAGAAGTATAAGGGTGTGCACACTTATGCAACCAGATTATTTTCGTTTTTTATTTTTACTTAACTCTACCCAAAAGATTTCAGTTTGTTGTTCAACTGAGTTGTAAAGTTTATAGGTTACATTACAGGTGGAAAAAGTTCTGAAATTATTTATCTTTGTCTCATTTTTTACATCACAGAAAACATGACATTTTAACAGGGGTGTGTAGACTTTTTATATCCACTATATGTGTGCATGGATACATAGGATAACATGCTGGGGAATTTACTGGCTGTAGAAAAAAATGCCAAAAGCCAAAAACAGCAGCTGTAAAAACGTCTGGTATGCATGAGGACGTATAGTTTCCAGGAAGGGAGCAAACTTACTTTGATCTCTAATTGAAACCCCCAAAAAATTAAAAAAGAAAAGAAAGTAATTGTTAGATCTAAGCTTGATGGGCTGAAGCAGGAAATGTCTGGAGAGTTTAATTTGCATTTGCTCAACCATGCTTTTTAAAACATGCTTTACATACCTATGTATGCAAATTCAAAAGATTAACCATACATGTTAAGATAATATCAAGGAAAAGACAAAAAACATTTTCAGTTGGCTCACACTTCACTTAGTCACTACCTCCTACTCACATTAAATGTTCCTGTGCGTAGTATCCTGGCGGAGAGCCTGATTACCAATGCCAATGAAGTGCATAAGATAAAAACGCTTGACAGCAGGTCGGCAATTTGTAGAGCCAGGTGGTACCATTCGTAGTGAAGGGGGTCTTGGCATACATTCTGGAACGTGCCATAAGGGAAAGGAAACTTAATAGCATAGCCAATGTAGTTGGTTGCGGACATCCCAGCGAAAGTATAGTAACAATAGGGGCCAATAAGGATTGATGCAATGGCCACTGCAAACTGGACTGGTGCTCCAATGATACTTAACAGACTCAAGGTGAATGTTGATTCCCACTGAAAGAGATGTTAGCCATAGATTACATTACTGTAAGACTCTGTGTGCATTGGGTATTCTCAATACAACAGTGCAAGGAGTACAGCACCTAGTGTAAAGCATGGTAGTCCTAGCAACCAATAAAAAAACCTGTGTGTTTTTAAGTTCATAGTCATGTGTTGCAATGTATTTTTTACATGTTTTATTTGTATGTGTTTTCCAAGTTTCATACTGATTTCCTTATATATTTTACAGTTAGCATGTCCCAATTTGGTTTCTTTTGCCAACCCCTACGTCACTATAGGAAACAGCAGTAATGAAGGGGTCAACAGGAGATCCACAGTGCACAATAGGGAACAAAAAATTATATTGAATTAATTTTTACAATTCAAAGCAAACTCCTCCATCCATCAATGTCTCTAGCCAATTCTGGTCATGACCATCTTGAGTAAGGGCAGATGATTCAATTTACTTCCTGGAATCCATCTGCCCTTAGCTCCAGCATGCAGGCAGTGGGGCATAATTAGCTGAGAGAACCCCTCCTGTCTGACCCTCATGAAGACTCATGTGATCAGCATCATTTGCCTAGACCTGCAAACCAGGAAGTAATTTAAGAAATGTAAAAAATTTTAAGACAAGTAAATATGATATACTTTTCTATCTATATACCAGTTTTAGCAGTATAAGTATTAAATAGTCCATGCTGATTGAAAAAGTCAAGCTTTAACTCCAGGCACAAAACTCAATTGCTGCAAAGGATATAAATGGACTTTGTGTGCAGCAAATGCCTTTGCAAATCCATATATTAAAGTATATGTGAACCCCTTATAAAACAATACATTCTGTTTAACAGCTTCTGCACTGTCCTATAGCAGAAATACTGCTACATTGCGGAACGGGTGAACAAAATCACATATATATACGTGACTTTGCAGTTCTGGGTAGGAAGCGTGCACGTGAGCGCGCCACCCTACCCGTGCCGCCATTCGTGGCGTCGGCTGTCAATCACTGGGTCCTGGCTGCTGAATCCCCGCTGACACCCGGTGATCTCCGAGGATTTCCGACAGGAGAGAGTCCTGTATATAAACAATACAGATGTCTTCCCTGTCAGCTCCTGCACACTGCTTTGTATGGCTCTGCATAGCAGAGCCATACAAAGCAGTGTGCTTACAGTGAAACAGACACACAGCCCCCATAGTAACACAGAACACAGTTAACCCACGTTAACCCCTTCCTGCCCAGTGCCATTAGTACAGTGTCAGTGCTTTGTATTAGCACTGATCACTGTATTGGTGTCACTGAGGATGTTAGTGACACCAAGTGAGTACCACCCAGTGTCAGAACGCCCACCATCAATCCCACTATAGGTTGCTGATTGTTGTCATTACTAGTAAAAAAAAAATCCAGTATATATATACCGCCATTTGTAAACGCTATAATTTTCACGTAAACCAATTAATTTACAGTTGCAAGAAAAAAGTATGTGAACCCCTTGGGATTACGTGGAGTTTTGCACAAATTGGGCATAAAATGTGCTCTGAACGTCACCTAAGTCACAACAATAGAAGAACACAGTCTGCTGAACACAATACTACTACACAAACATTAGATGTTGCCATGGTTTAATTGCACATAACATGTAAACATTCACAGTGCAGGGAGGAAAACGTATGTGAGGCCCTAGCTTAATGACTTCTCCCAGAGCTAATTGGAGCCAGGAGTGAGCCAACCTTGACTCCAATCAGTGTGATGATATTGGATGTGTTGCTGACAGCTGTCCTGCCCTTAAAAAACACACACCTGTTTTGGGTTTACTGGTTTCAAGAAGCACTGTCTAATGTGAACCATGCCTCGCAGAAAAGAGCTCTCAGAAGACCTACGATCAAGAATTGTTGACTTGCAGGAAGCTGGAAAGGGTTACAAAAGTATATCCAAAAGCCTTGATGTTCATGTGTACACGGTAAGACAGACTGTCTACAAATGGAGAAAGTTTAGCACTGTTGCTACTCTCCCTAGGTGTGGTCATCCTGTAAAAATGACTGCAAGAGCACAGCGCAGAATGCTGCATGAGGTAAAGAAGAATCCCAGAGTGTCAGCTAAAGACCTACAGAAATCTCTGGCACATGCTAACATTTTTGTTGACACATCTACAATAAGGAAAACATTAAACAAGAATGGAGTACATGGGAGAAACACCACGGAGGAAGCCATTGCTGTCCAAAAAGAATATTGCAGCACGTTTGAAGTTTGCAAAAGAGCACCTGGATGTTCCACAGCACTACTGGCTAAATATACTGTGGACAGATGAAACCAAGATTGAGTTGTTTGAGAAGAACTCACAACACTATGTGTGGAGAAAAAAAGGCACAGCACACCAACATCAAAACCTCATCCCACTGAAAAACATGGCGGAGGGAGCATCATGGTTTGGGGCTGCTTTGCTGCCTCAGGGCCTGGACGGATTGTTGTCATTGATGGGAAAATTAATTCCAGAGTTTATCAAGACATTTTGCAGGAAAACGTACGACCATCTGTCCGCTAACTGAAGCTCCGCAGAGGATGGGTGATGCAACAGGACAATGACCCAAAGCATACAAGTAATTCAACAAAACAATGGCTGCAACAGCACAGAATACGCCTTCTGGAGTGGCCCAGTCAGGGTCCTGACCTCAACCCGATTGAAATGCTGTGGCATGACCTTAAGAGAGCGATTCACACCAGACATCCCAAGAATATTACTACACTGAAACAGTTTTGTGAAGAGGAGTGCTCCAAAATTACTCCAGATCGTTGTGCAGGTCTGATCTGCAACTACAGGAAACGTTTGGTTGAGGTTATTGCTGCCAAAGGAGGGTCAACCAGTTATTAAGTCCAAAGGTTGACATACTTTTTCCTCCCTGCACTGTGAATATTTACATGTTATGTGCAATTAAACCATGGCAACATCTAATGTTTGTGCAATATTATGTTCAGCAGACTGTGTTCTTCTATTGTTGTGACTTAGATGACGTTCAGAGCACATTTTATGCCCAATTCATGCAAAACTCCACGTAATCCCAAGGGGTTCACATACTTTTTTCTTGCAACTGTACACATGTTGGGATTTTTTTTAGCAAAGACATGTCACAGAATACATTTTGGTCTAAATGTATGGCAAAATTAGATTTTTTTTTATTTTTTTCACTGGACATGTTTAATAGCAAAATGTCAAAAATATTGTTTTTTTTCTCAAAATTGTCAGTCTTTTCTTTTTTATAGCGCAAAAAATAAAAAATGTACAGGCAATCAAATACCACCAAAAGAAAACTCTATTTTTTGAAAAAAAAGGACTTAAATTTAATTTGGGTGCAGCGTTCCATGACCGTGCAATTGTCAGTTAAAGTAACGTAGCGCCGTATTGCAAAAAATGGCCTGGTCAGGAGGGGGGGGGGGGGGGGGGGGTAAATCCTCTGGAGGGCAAGTGGTTAAAATAGAAATGAAGTGCAAAACATTTGTTTTGTGTATGTGTGTGTGTGTGTGTGTGTGTGTATATATATATATATATATATATATATATATACACTATATTGCCAAAAGTATTGGGACACCCATCCAAATCATTGGATTCAGGTGTTCCAATCACCTCTATGGCCACAGGTGTATAAAATCAAGCACCTAGGCATGCAGACTGCTTCTACAAACATTTGTGAAAGAATGGGTCGCTCTCGGGAGCTTAGTAAATTCAAGCATGGTACTGTGATAGGTTGCCACCTGTGCAATAAGTCCATCCGTGAAATTTTCTTGCTACTAAATATTCCACAATCAACTGTTAGTGGTATTATAACAAAGTGGAAACAACTGGGAACAACAGCAACTCAGCCACAAAGTGGTAGGCCACCTTAAATGACAGAGCACGCATGCTGAAGTGCACAATGAGCAGAAGTCGCCAACTGTCTGCAGAGTCAATAACTAAAGACCTCCAAACTTTGTGTGGCCTTCAGATTAGCACAACAACAGTGCTTAGAGAGCTTCATGGAATAGATTTCCTTGGCCAAGAAGCGGCATCCAAGCCTTACATCACCAAGTGCAATGCAAAGCATTGGATGCAGTGGTGTAAAGCACACCGCCAATGGACTCTAGAGCAGTGAAGATGTGTTCCCTAGAGTGACGAATCACGCTTCTCTGTCTGGCAATCCAATGAACATGTCTGGGTTTCACAGTTGCCAGGAAAACGGTACTTGCCTGACTGCATTGTGCCAAGTGTAAAGTTTGGTGGAGGAGGTATTATGGTGTGGGGTTGTTTTTTAGAGGTTGGGCTTGGCCCCTTAGTTCCAGTGAAGGGAATTCTTAAGGCATCAGCATACCAAGACATATTGGACAATTTCATGCACAAAGCAAGGTCCATAAAGACATGGATGAGTGAGTTTGGGGTGGAGGAATTTGACTGGCATGCACAGAGTCCTGACCTCAACCTGATAGAACCTTTGGGATGAATTAGAGTGGAGACTGAGAGCCAGGCCTTCTTGTCTGACATCAGTGCCTGATCTCACTTGTGGAAGAATGGTCAAACATTCCCATAGACACACTCCTAAACCTTGTGGACAGCCTTCCCAGAAGAGTTGAAGCTGTTATAGCTGCAAATGGTGGACCAACTCAACATTGACTAAAACTGAGATGCCATTAAATTTCATATGCGTGTAAAGGCAGGTGTCCCAATACTTTTGGCAATATAGTGTGTGTGTGTGTGTATATATATATATATATATATATATATATATATATATATATATACACACTTTTTTTTTCTAATCGTGATCACATAACCTCTGTTCTCAGCTGCATAAAGGCTTTATAGAGGTGGGGGTGGAGGGGGGGGGGGGGGTGCCAGCAGGAGACAGAGAAAGAGCAATACACTGGAACTGACACTTCAATTAAGAGCTGTGCAGAGGGTTTGTCAGCACAAATCTTCACCATTGGAGGACAGGCAGTCTGTGCTCCCATCACAACCAGAAAACCGAGAACAGGATACTTTTTAACA